ACTTCATCGAGTACACTTTGATCCTTTATATAGATAAATAGCGATGTTTCCGTCCGTATGAAGACTCTTCCCTATTTCGTCTAAACAAACTTGTAACTCTCTTTATTTTAAGGACCGCAATGCATGGAATTAATAGCCTTTGCTTTGTTCTATAACGACTTATTATATGTCCTACAGATTTTGAAAGTTATATTTATTATTGTGATAACACATATTATTTTAGTAATGACATGATTCATGTAAATGTCATTACCAAAATAGTATGTAATGTCATGACTTATGTAAATGACATTACTTATGATAATGAGCTGGCAAGTTTCTTTCGCTTGTTCTTCTTGTCAAGTCCTGAACAAGTGGTAGGGGAAAATTTTATTTGGACGATTCAAAAGTGCTTGAAACAAGCTTACTTGAATAAAGATATTTTCATTTAATTTCATTTCATTACATGCATATTGAAGCATTAGAAAACAATAAATAGATGGCACCAACAAATGCTGGTAAAGTGATAGCGAGAAAAATGAACTTTTGCTCTGTTGTGTTTGTCAATCAAAATTGCTCATATCATGCAAAATATGAATTTTAGTTAAGCGGTTTTTAATAATGGACCAGAATCACAAAGCTAACTAAAAACGCCCAAAAGTGATAATACATATTTACCGATACGACCACCAAATTCCACAGAGGACGATCCAGTGAAAGCTGAAGGTAAAGCCTCCGACCATTCTAATATTAGCGTACAGATAAAATCATCTAAGAATATTACGCCTACAAAGTTACCAGCGCTGACCAAAGTGCTTTACTACTGCAAGAGCTTCATCAAACGCTTAAAAAATTTGTGAGCCATGAATTTGCTACAGTAAGAAATAATTGTCGTCTCTGGAGGATAGTAGGCAATTCATAAATCAACAGTATGAATCTCCTAAAGAATCATATGACAGTCTAAAACCATTCACGATCTGCAAAATGAAAATACTAGTTCGAACTCTACAATGCGGGAAATGACCAGTCGTTTACAGGTTGTGGAGCAGTCTAGTAGATTATTTTACGTTGAATTACAGTGCGTGCCATAGCACAGGAATAAGAATCTTCTGACTGTATTCATACATTTTTTTAGGTAAAATTAATAAAGATGACAATCGTCATTACTCCCGTGTCACCAAAATGTACAATAAATAACAAGCGGCCTTGCACGATAGTTGTTAAACTGGCTACACCTTTGTTGCGTGACTCCTTTTTAGCAAATGTCATCAAATTCAATAAAGCGAAGCCTAAAGACAAAATTAATACTACTCACTTGGGCATGGAAGGGTAAAAAGAACCAATCTACTTCACAGAATATTGATCACCAACTGATAAGATGTTACATGCACACACACGCCTTTATGCCATAAAAAGGGTTACAAGTTTGTTAAGACGAAACAGGGAAGAGTCTTCATTCGGACGGAAACATCGCTATTTATCTATATAAAGGATCAAAGTGTACTCGATGAAGTACCGTAATAAACTCTATTAATTTATTTATTGTATAAGTTTATGCTCTATTTGTTAAAAAAAGCGTTAAAACTATATTACCAGAATGTGAGAGGTAACGTAACTTGCACAAATTATGATACGACAGTGAGTTATTTGATGATAGCTTTACAGTACGAGTATATAGAAGAGATCGTGAAATAAGTGGTTTTCATTATGGTAAAGGAGGGAGTGGAGTTATTATGATCGTATCTAATAAATTAACTTCTTCTTGGTTAAAAAAAATATCCCATAGAAAAGCTATTTGCTTTTGTTCTCTACCTTTAAACTTACTTCGGTTAAACCAAATATTGATGATCATTTAATTGATAATTTTAATGCAATATCTTAAAAAGGGAAAGGGAAAGCGATATAAACCCCCTGTCTATTTCTATAACATATACATAGGTAAAATCGAAAAAAGCATTAAAGATAATCCTAAATATTTTTGGTCATTTGTTAAGCAAAAGAATAAACCTTCTAATCAATATCCGGACAAAATCACATTATACAACAAATAGCGACCTATGGTGATGATATTTGTAACTTATTCGTTACCCATTCTTCAAATGTATTTTCGACCTCTTTTTGTAAACCGAATGGTAATAGTAATAAATCGCCTATTTCTCAGAATACTTTGAGCATGAGCATTTATGAAAACTTGATTAACGTAAGGGGACAGGGCCGGATTGCATCCCAGCACACTTTGTGACATGGTGTTTTAAAGAGTTATGCTGGCCGCTTTAGTTAATTGATAATAAATCACTGAAAACGGGTGTGCCGGCGCTTTAGAAAAGTGCAAGGGTAGTTCCTATATTTAAGAAAGCTGACTAATTATAGATCAATATGTGTGTTATCTGGTTTTGCTAATGTATTTGAGGGATTAGTTTACCCCTACCTGCATTCCCACATAAAACAGCTTTTGACAACAAACCCGGATTCGTTCAAACAAGAGTCCCGAATACTGACTTAGTCACCTACAGGGATTGTTGTAGACGCTGGTCTCGAAGTTGACGCTATATATGTGGACTTCTATGAAGCATTTGACATAGTGTCTTACAATATTTTAATCGTAATGTTTTCTATGAAACACATCTATGAAAATATTATGTACACAAGAAAACATTACGATTAAAATACTAAATAAGTATTTTGACTGAAGTAGTGAATCTTCACTAGACCGTAAATTATATATAGCGCGAACAGCTCTCTTTTGTAGAATAAAATATCTTTAATGCTAGCCGCTGAACACCACAACAATAGACCATACGTCATTACACTATGAAAATAACTAAAATATACCAATCTTGCCGTTTCAACAATCTATTCTTAATTGCTGTTAATACGGTAGAACTCAGTCTACTTGACAAGTTATCAATATAAGGATCCCATTGTAGTCGGGAATCTAGTGTAATATCAAGGAACTTTTTATTTACATTTATAAGTGTACTAACATGCCTCACATTAGGTAATGCAAACTTTATGCATTTCGTTTTATTTGAATTAAGCTTTAGATTATTATAATCAAACCACTGTAGAACATCATCATTTACATCGTCAAAACAATCATTACCCCTCTTAACTTTAAATACTAAAGAGGTGTCATCCGCAAATTATACTATCTTGCACAAATTCTTCGTAAACTGAGGAAGATCATTAATGTAAATTAGAAAAAGCAATGGTCCTAATACCGATCCCTGAGGTACGCCCATAGTAACGGGGGCCCCTGCAGATTTTGCTTTATTATTTACATTCGAGAATATTTTCTTGCCGATATCAATTAACCAAAACACATTGAGTTATCAAGATATCTTTATCTTAATGATTTGTGTTAAGAATCTTTTTTAGATCCATATTTTTTATCGAGCAAAAATAAATGTTAATTGTTTTATATACCATATTTTTTTAATATTTTCTTAGAAAATACTCATTTTGTGTTAATTTCAACAAAGACATTTTTTTTTAAGAAATCGCTTTACCTAATAAGTCTCCTCTATCTTTTTACTAGCTGTTTTCTCGCAACTTAAGGCGCGTAAATTATACTAGCTTTCTAGTAGGTGCAATAAATTAAGAAATCAATACAATGCCAAAAAACAATTGAATTTTATCTTTTTATAATATTATTATTAATAGATGACGACGTTCCACGCTTACAGGAATATTGTTAATATTAATTATCTTTCCGTACAAATTATTGCTGGTTTTATGAACTCCCGATATATTTTAGAATAACTGAAAGTCTAATAGACTAAGAATTGAAAAATACGCTCGCGCCGAGTGGCTCTACGTCCGGGTTGCTCACAACGCGGACGCATGGATTTTCTATAGGTTTGTATGAATTTTCAAAGCATTCCATCCACTTTCCATACTGGCCGATACCACCTGTTTTAGCAATTGTTGAAAATTCACCTTTAAAGGTGTAAAAAAATAGTTCAAACGTGACGGAACTCCGTCATTTTTATATTTGAATTTGAACCACTAATTATAAATTATTATGAATAGTCGACTTATGGAAAGCTAGTGTTGTTATGCACTTGTTCGATATATGAGACAGTTCCATATGATATCTATTTCAATAATCTAGGTTTTAAAATAATGTCTAAATGGACTAATCTCAACCGATAGCGCCCACGAAAGCTAAGAAATATCTTAATTTCTTAAGTAAAGACTAAAGAATTTTTGATCTTTTTATTGAATAATTTATTAAAGTATATTATAAAAACTTACAACTAATTTATGCTACTATAAATTTCTCATTAATAAAATTTTTGAACACTAATAATAATTTGAAAAAAGATATATGTACACAATAATTCATAAATCGTTGCCAATAAAATAAGTATATTTCATCCAATTTTTCGTGAAGATACTAAATCCATATTTTTCCATGAGTGTAAAAAAACTTATTTTAACAGGCAAAATATATAAATAAAGAAATAAAAATAATTTTTATATAAACAAAACTAGGTAAGTATTTCTAACTATTACGACTATATTATGAGATAACAACACGCTTATACACAAAAATGTAGCTCTATAATAAATAACTAAGCAGAAATTATCTTGATATGATTTTACATTAAAGTAAATTTTACATTTTTTTTGTGGTTGTCGTAGATTCTTTTGTATACATAAATAAAATATAAAATTAGAAGTTTACAGTAAACTTGATATAATGATATAAAAAATCAATTCAATCATAAAAAATATCAATCTGTCTTTTTTCTTTTTATTCGAATGCCCTTATTGAGATTGGTGGATCTAGCAAGCGAAAAGATTTTATCACAATTTTTAGAACAAGTCTTTGAATCCATATATTTTATTTCGATGGGTCCGTGTATAAGGTTCAAAATAGCATTTTAATCAATTTAACTTTTTGGTGGTGTAATTGATGTTAGCGTTACAAAACTTGTTTAAGTACGCAGTAAAAAGGTTTACGTAGAATATTTTTAAATGTAGAAGGGCTTAACGACACCTGGTCAATAAACATTAAAAAGTATATTTTGTTAGTACACTGAAACATTAAAAAGGAGCAAGTCCATCATAGTAAAATCATTAATATAAAAATTTCAATTTTATATTTTAAAATATACCACATTATATCAAATCAAACTTTACCAGTCTCTCGTTGAAAATCTTGAATTTGCACTTCAGCCTTTATATAAGACCTATTGATTATGTTATAGACTTAAACTCTTCTAATTTTGTGAGATGAAAACTTATTTCTTGGGATCTCTGTAGACACCCATAAAGAGGATGGAGCTGGTAGGCCTCTCGTAAATGACATAAACGAAGGGGAAGTTGGCGATAAAGCGACTCGGTTCTGCGGGCCGCGATGATCGAAAACCGAAAATTGCCGTCGCTGCCGCTGCAACGGTACCTGAAAAGATATAATTTATTTTTAATATATACAATATTACATGTGCATGTAATAATATTGCTAGAAAGTAAAGCTAGTAAAATGACGAAACACCTAACATCACCCAGCCAGAGACGGTTAGGCCAAAAATGAGTATGGTTAATTCCGACCTAAAATTTATTTCATTAAGAAAACCCAAGTTATTCCAACGGTCTCCCGCCGTAGATTTACAATCCGATGACATAGATTTCGACTTTCACGAGTGCTTGTCACAGCCTAGCCTTATAAGATTTTGTATTTGAATTTTTGCTAAAAGATAGCCTATAACTTATGTATATCGCTTAATAAGATTGCGAGTTACTTAGTTTCTAAGGGATGTTTTTTTAACTTCATCAAACTATTAATATTCCATGGCAAATTTTATTTAATTTCGACTAATACATGCAAGGTGGAAGTGCTAATTTAAAACATATTCTATGTCTGTGTCTAAAAACCATTGTTAATCTATGTATTGTAATTAATAGAATTCATAATACTGCACAAATAATTATTGTGTTAAATTATAGATTGATTGATATCACATTATGTTCTGAAAAAATACTATCCAAATAAACAAGGGCATATTCAAAGAAAATCTTCTACATATAAAATGAAAATAGCTCTGCCTATTTCACATTTAGGAGAATGAAGAAGAATTAAAAAAAAGAAAGTATAAGAAATGCACCTCACTAGATGGCGACTCTAGTAAAAGTTGATTTTTGCAGGAAACGAATGGACCAAAGATAGTAATTTCCATTCCTTTTAACTAACATATTAAAAACTGAAATTTGCAAAGTTCGAAACTTAACTATCAATACAAATACGAAAAAGTACAATAGAATATGAGATGTTTATTGAGTTTTGGAAATTTACTTTTATACACGAAAGAAAATAGTAAGGGTTGTCATAGAGAAATCAAGAAAATATCGTAGAAACAACTAGTTTTCTTCTGGGAACGAATGTTGTTTTTTTTTAATACTTCCTCATTGAAGCATCTAGTATACCCCTAAGATTTATCAACGCAGGAACTGAATATTTGCCCCCTATACACGAGATGGAACTGTTACGAAAACTAATTATACACTGAATACAAGCACATCCTACTAATTATTATAAAGGCGACAGTTTGTAGTTTTGGATGTTTGTTACTTCTTCATGCAAAAACTACTGAACGGATTTTGATGAACTTTGATATACAGGCAATTCTTAGTTTGGGTTAACACATAGGTTACTTCTTATCCCACTTAAAGGTACTCTAGGGATAGAATACCTATAAGGACGCCTATTTTTATGAACGCTGCTTAAACGGTTAGAGATATACCAATGCCTTCTAAAGAAAAGTTGGAGTGCTTTAAATTATATATAGTAAAGTCCGCAATTTCATATATCTATGTGTTAAGGTTTTGCCACAAAAGTAAAAAAAGCCTATAAGTGTATTTAAATTTTTTGTCTGTCTTTAGACGATTATATAAGTAGAGGATATTAAATCCTTATCAAAATAAATATGCTTATCTTCAAAGAAATTAATGTACATATAAATTGTCTTTTATACCAAATAAATTGGATAAATAGTTTAGATTTTACTAAGTTTTGAAAAAAGAAAATAACTTATATTGCCGATTTTCTAAATACTATTTTGTGTGCATTTATCTTTCACTATTTATCAGTATTTTTTAATGTATACGATAATATGTAAATTTATAAAGACTGCAGTGATACGACGAGATACAACTGTTACGAGAGCGTTTAGTAACAAGAAACACTTATTTAAGCTGATATTGGTCTAATTATCCAAGAAATTATCAGGAGTAGTGTAAGGCTTATGTAGTGCTGGAGAAGAAAGAATGAGAAATATTAGCTGCATGGAACTATAAATCGATTGGATAAGTGCTGGGAATCATAAACGAAAAGAGACGGCTGCAAGGGACGGACAGCGGAGTCTTAGTGATAGGGTCCCGTTTATTATCCTTTGGGTATGAAATTCTAAAACGAATCATATTGCAAAAAATCTCAGCTAAATCATACTATTGCATTTGCATCGATAAAGTAACTAATATCGAGGATGCAGTATACTACTATTCATAATTTTAGTATAGTACCTCCTCAACAAAGCTTGAATTTGCCATAACAAAGATTATTTTACAATTTTTAAGACTGTTTATTTATGAAAATAAACATTTTTATTTTAGAGTTGCCTGTGTGACGACCACTAAAAGTACAATATGGATACGAGAAAACGGTCAAATTGAAAACCTATTCTTATTTTTTGAAGTTGTTTAGAAATAAACGACTGAACTAATACCACGCAAACGAATTGCGGGCAAAAGCTAGTAATTTCATAAATGCTAACCTTCTTCGTCAAGTTGTATCTTGGCTTTGTGTACTGCGTCATCGAACAGTACGCCACTCTGTTCCGTCAGCGTAGTGAAGTCAGCACTAGCGTTAAACAGGTCTCCTACACCCACCACTTCAAGAATCTGAAACATTAAAATAAAGTGTTAGATATTTTTTGCTAAAAAACTTCCGTCTTTTTCTTCAAATTTGTGGTATACAAATTTGAATTATAACTTTTCATAGTACAACTAGCTCGGTGGCGTAGAGGATAAGCACCGCGGCCCGCCAACGTTGTTGTTAAGCAACTTTCGCAACGGTGGGTCACGGGATGGGTGACCAAAAAATGATTATCTCGAGCTACTTCGTGCTTCGGAAGGCACGTCACGCCGTTGGTCCCGGCTGCATTTGCAGTCGATACCCTCCAATCCGCATTGGGCCAGCGTGGAGGGTCCTGGTCCATCCTCCTTAACCATCCATAAGGAAGGCCTGAGCCCCTGCAATGGCGACGTAAAAGGGCTGATGATGATAATGAAATGAAATGAAAATATCTTTATTCAAGTAAGCTATTACAAGCACTTTTGAATCGTCCAAAAATTTTTTCCCCTACCACTTGTTCAGGAAATCTTTTGATGATGATGATAGTACAAATAAAACCTACATAGTAATATGCTGAATTTAATAATAGTAATAGTGGTTTAATATTGTTGATTGTCTGACCAACGTGTATCTTACAAAGAATTTCCGATATTACTATCGTGAACTATATCGTGATTGACTCTATAGTCTTTTTTATTTCAGTTCACTTTAGTCATTCAAATAAAATCATAAGTCAGTGTGATAGTGCCACATATTTACTATCAATTTTGAGAGTGGCCGTAAAAACAAAACTCAATCAATAATTTTGAGAGTTATTTGCTGACCGAAAACAAGTTTCTACAATACAATATAACATAGTTTTGCCATAAATATTGAGAATATTTTAGATTGAGATTAAAATTGAGTGGATCGAGCTTTATGACCTGGCACAGAGTCTTGCTGAAAGTACCATTCTTGGTTATTGAACATCGTGTTGGCTTATCTACCTTCTTCAGAATGGTATCTTAATAAACTTGTTCCGATGTTTTGATGCGCTTCACAATAATATGGCTCGGTTACTCCTTCATAGCTAACACCCCAACAAACCGTCATTGAAGTCACATAATGCCCACTTTGTACTTTTTGACTAATCGTGAAGCTTTTTTAGAGCTTGGGCATAAATATAGTCATTTTCTTTGTTAAAATATTGCTCAATTGTAAAAAAAAAATTAAGATTTTACTACTCTTTTCTTTTTAAAATTATCTGATAAAAAATTATGTTCCATACCTACTTTATGTAATACAATCACAGCGATACGGTTCTCTTTATCATCCCACTCCATTTTTATATCATTTAATATTTAATATTATAATGGCGCGAAAATAAAAAAAGACAATGAACGATCTTATAGAAACGACAGATTCGAAATTTAAAATTATTATTATTTTGTTTAATTTTAAGTTAGTATTGAAAAATAATATTTTTTAAAGTTTACAGATAAACCTATAACAAGTATTTACCTCTCTAAGAGGCAGACTCCTTTCCATTGTGAATTTGGGGATCTCAACGATGACTTCACGACCCATATAGCTCTCCTCTACAACAGCAGCCAGCCTTTCTGGGGTAAGGTTCTGAATTATGTTAGTCACTCCTGAAAATAAATAAGAAATAGCCAGTTACATATATGTATAAGGTTTATGTAGAACAAACTTAATTAAGTTACTTTTTAATGTTTATTCATATTTTATACAATAATAAAATACTCGTATACACTTGGACAAAAAGGCCACTATTTTTATTTTAGATTATGTTCTTTATTTTTAGTTTTTTTGTGTATTGCTTAATAGAGTAATGGGTATTTTAAAGTGCACTATTTCATTTAAAAATTAACAGACAATAAAAAAAAGTCAAAGTGTTTTCATTTTGAAACACAGACACGACTGCCACCGTAACTAGTTAGGCTGCCAAAAAGGGTATTTGGTAGGCTTACTAGACTTAAACTGTATTCCATAAAAAGGCGAAAAAATGGAATCGTTGGATTTCACTACGATGCCAATTAACGGTATCTATACCTACCCCGTAATTAGACGTAGACGTGAAAACATATAAGAATCAATAGGAAGCATGAACTGACCTTCCTTCATAGAGTACGGTGGCAGGAGAATGTACATGCTGATATCATTACCCTTGTACGGTAATTCCAGGATCTGTGCACCCAAGTCGTCACTCACCACTGCAAAGATGTAATATTTTTTCTTAAGATGTTTTATTAAAGTACAATATCCATCACCATGATTAGCTTTCCCCAATTCAGCGAATTTCCCCACTGTTGGACCATAGGTCTTCCTGTGATGTGCATTATCCGGATTTAGATATAAAGGTACTTTCAATTAAATAAAACTATTAACTAGTAAGTAAAAATACTTATTATCCAGTATTGCTAAAAACAATTAGACAATCAAATTTTAATATAATTTTAATAAAGATTAATCTAACCCAATCCGACATAATTGTAAAAATAAATGTTTTTTTTTCTAGACGATTTCAGACTTTATTGAATAATTACATATCTTTGTAGAGTATTCGACATTTTCTCCTCCATATATTTAAATAGCTATAAATCTATAACATTTTAGGTTAATGTCTGTCTGCATCTTGCAGCTACCAAGACCAAACACTCTTATCAATCATTAGAGTCCAACCAAGAGCTAACTAGTACTATACTCACAACTGATAGATGGTGAAAAAATGGCTTTTGTGAAAAATGAACTCGCACAAAAATATGTATTACTTAATACAGAAATTAAAAGATAATCTATGCTCATATAACAAAGAGGTAAATTTTCTAACTTCGGTTGTTTCTTTGTAGGTCAGTATGTTTTTAAAAAAAGTTGTGGCCTTTTAAAAAATAATCGTACTACAATACAAATATTACAGTTCTAATTAGCATTTTGAAAAGTAAACAATTTATTAAACTAGTTAAGCATTATTTTAATAATAATTTTTATGTAGATGACATCAAAACTTCAACTTAATCAATCCTAAATATACTCACTGTAATGGAAAGTTCCCTTTTGCTTCATGAACGGGACCAGAGTTTGTCTAGTCTCAGACACAAAGAACGCTTCTTTTTTAGTTCTTTCGACAGGGAACTTTGAGGCCCAGACACCCTTGAAGTATGCTGCGTTCGCCAACACTAGCTTGGTAGCCTCACTGACACCATCATCAGGCAATAAGTCCTTGATGTTATTCTTGGTTACTCGTGCGACCCACTCGTTAATGTAGTCTTTGGCCTCTCGGGGACTATTGTGGAAGTTCTAGAAAAAATAGTAAATATTAGAGAATGGTAGCAACTCTGAACAATTTAGTCTGCGTTTTCCATACTGTAAATAAATATGTTTAAGGAATATATTTATATATTTTAGATTGAATGTTATGGCAAAATAATGTCAAAGTAATAGCAAAGTAAACCCATATTAAAATAAGTTTTACTCTTTAGCACTGCTCTACCTCTACGTAACTTCAAACCTTAATTGATTTTTCGAAATTAAACCCTGAATTACAGTCTGTTCAATTCTAGATCAATCGTGATTGGTCTACTGACAGTTGACCTGTTTTATTATAATTGATCAATCAGGGTTTAGAGCCGCGGAACGGTAATAAAATTCATCAGGAATTCAGCGAAATGGTGATATACACGTGAAAATCGCCGTGTAAACCACTCGGTTACGATAGTTGTGTGGATTAGGTATTCCCTTTATGTCACATTAGTAAAGTATTTATCTAAATATTAAACTGTCAAATAGCTCATATAGTATAGGAACAGTAACGAAATATTGCAATTGGTCTAAATGCAATATATAAGAGTACGGATGTTTATTTATTTGTCCACTATATAATGCCCCATCAACTGGACAGATTTTATTGAAATTTGGTGCACATACTCACCAGTGCTTGTATTTCCTCTCCGAACAACTGGAACATGCAATCACGCACACGTAGTTCTTCGTCCACGAAAAGTTTGTTAGCACTTGTGAATTCGTAGCTGTCACTATTGTTATTCGCTGTACGTGATCGCTTATCCACTTTATACGCAGTCATCAGGTTGATCTTGTCCTAAAACAGAGGTCAATAAACTTATTTAAATGAACATCAGTGACTTTAGCTTAATCAGGATTGTGAAGAGAGAATACTATTATTATATGATATACTGCAACTCTTTGGAATAAGCTAAACCTTGTACTTGAACGTTTTAACTATGTGAAATGAAAAATTCTTTATTCGAATTTTTATTCCAAGCACATCATACCCGTTAGTCCAGTATTCTATTAAAAACAGTCCAGAATTCGACGTCGAGCTCAACGCTGTCAATGTATAGAAGAATAATGAAATAAATAATTTATTACCTTTTAAAGTAGGTATTTTAGTATTTTATTTGATTAAACATCTGTGCTTTGATATTTGACAGCAGCATTACTAAATTAGTAATTTATCCACCATTCGAAACGTCAAAGAAGCAAGATGAAACTAAATATCGCCATAATATCGATAATATGTCGTATCCAATAGCTTAAATCATGGCTAGACAGCTAGACGGTCACACCCCAGGACGGTAGGATGTCATGGCTGACAACAAAACTGATACAAGAAACTTAATCTCCATTTACATAGACTACTATACGTATAATACTTACTAAGTTATTCTTAATCTGAAGAGAATGTTTCAATGACTTTTCCGTTTCTCCACCCGCAGCAAAATAAGCGAGCAGCAATGTATGGTAGACTGAGAATGGTGAAAAGAATATATTGTCGTTGGGCACCGCTTTGTTGATAGCATTGAATAAGTTTAGGGTGAACTCTAGTTGTCCACGGTAAAGGTTCGTTCGTGCTTCTGGATCCAGTTTCTTGGAGGAGTCATCCTTATAAAAACATTGTGAGCTGACCGTAGATACGGCCAGGAGTGCTATTACAGCAATTTTCATCATCGTGGACCTGTAATAGAGCAATTTACTGCATTAAATACTATCACTTTAACCTTGCACCGTAACAATCGGAAAATCGCTGTTAAACGGAATGGGGAAATACATATTATTTATAAAATTACACAAAAAGTGAATCATTCAAATTTTTCCAAGGTGACCTGTAATGAGAGTGATTTTAAATTTTTAATCGACTTCAAAATCTAAAAGGAGGATTTTATTATTATAAATATTTCCGCCACATATTGACCAAATAATCAAAATTCTTTTTTATTAGACAGTTTAATGGATCGAGATCATATTTGCCCGTAGTCAGCTCACAATAATCTATAAAAAAACAAACATTTTGGCGAAAGTATATAAACCGTGTGTTATTTAATTATCATAAGCGATTTGATTTACATGAAACTTTTATAATATAACAAAGACTGCTGGCTACTATTATATTCGGATTCGCTTAGAGATAAAGTGCAAATATAGCTTCAAACAAGATGATCTCCATTCAGTATTGATGCATTTCACTTCACTTTCTCCTCCGAGTAGAGGCGGAGCCGCTGACCGTCTATACTCAGTTACATTTGTGACTCAGCGGGGCCACTTTTATCCATGTTTTCAAAAAATAAGTGCATAATACCTAATGGTAATGATTCTGTTTAGATTTAGTTTCAACTTAAGAATTTTTGATTCAATAAACAGCTCAGTAACAGAAATAAACTGATTATATTCTGTGTATACAAACATAGAATATATTTTGTATTTTTTAAGATATTTTTTTACTATTTAATAACGTTAGATGAGATTTTTTTTTATTTTTTTGTTTAATTTAGAAAGTGGCCTTATATATTTTCCGCAAATAATATGAGGAAATTAAAATAATGTTCCCGACTAATAATCCAGTAAAGTTAGAGGGATGTCGATAGAAAAATATGACAAAGTATAGCAAAATGTAATACTTTTGTATCAAATATTTTTAACTTTATTCATAATCAACGCAATATCAATAACTGTTCTTTTATTTATTTTTGAATGAGACAGCTTGTAATTTAATATTTAAAAAAAAACTGGCTTTTGTTTTAAGTCCAGAAAAGAGAAATTTCCATAAAAACTTTCATCCCCTAATTGACCTTCTTAGGGGTCGAATTTCACATTTCAATCCCGGCTTAGTGAGCACCTGTGTCCTAAAAAAAGCCGCATATAAAATTTAAAAAAATCCTAGCACTTGTAGTAACGAAGTATCATATAAACTTTCGATGGGGCTAAATTAGGGATATTAGCCCTTATTAACCTTTCGGGGTGGAATTTTCTCTCTTAGTGCTCTCTACGATCCTTAAGGAATCTTCATTCCAAATTTCAACTTTCTACGTGCAGTAGTTTCGGCTGTACGATGTCTATCGTTCAGTCACAGAATTTTATATATATAAATTGAAAACAGCATATTCTAATGGCGGGTTTCCACATAGAAGATAAAATTAAATTAATTAAATAAAAATAAAAATGAAACACCTACTTAATTAATTCAATCTGAGTTAAGTATTTATCAACTAAAAACGTGTAGACCGGCCATCATTCGTGATATTTCTTTTAACAAATAAACTATACTCTTTAAAACTTGATCTGAGATGCGCAAGGTTAGCAACATTGGCAGAGACCGATCATAATCCTATAGGATTGATTTTATAAAACGATAAAAATCTATATTTCGAGCTTTCTGATACTTCGGAAGCCACGTTAAGTCGTGTAACCCGGCTACTAGAATCCTCATCACTCACAGTCCGTGTCTATATATTATATTAGTTAACCAGCAGCGTATCTTCATTACGACATATGCTGCGGAGCTAAGTGTATCCATAAATGGGCCTTAGTTACATATGTAGTCGTTAATACCCTCCAATCCGCATTGGCCCAGCATGCAGGGTCAAGGCTCATCCTCCTCCGAGGGACGTAAAAAGGCTGATGATGATGATGATTCACATTATATACCTACCTATTTGACATTAGGCAATATAAATTTTGTTCTTCCTTCAATAATAAGTACATTATTCACATTGAAACAATGTACTACTTACTCTAGCGATAGAATTGTTCAATTTTAAATAAGATTATGCGTCATCTGCTAACAAAACTATTTTGTGATAATCCTTTCTATAATAAAATCCTATTTTGGTTCCATCCGTAGGGAATCCCCCAATCTCAGAAATGGCCAGTGCGGTCGAACTAAAATATTTAATACCTATAACTGAAATATATCGAATATAGGATTAAGGAAAATATAAACTGCATCGAAGGATAAACTTAAGCTTGGCTTTGAAAAACTGTTGTCATAACATAAGTTGTGCTATTAAACAAAAAATATAGATAAAAGATTTAAATCCACAGAAATTACTTTTAAGTTTTGATTTCATCGCGGGTATGAAAAAATGCGGCATAACATTCTTCAACAATTCCTTTGGTTGCCTTGATTTAGAAGTTTAAATTTTCCATAGTTCTAAATGATTACAAACCTTATATTTTTTCCTGTGGTCGAATAGAAATAGCGTTTCTGAGAAACAGGTCTAAGTGATCCTAGAGTTAGTTTTCCCTTTGATGCACAGTAGCCGTTTTTTACGTTTATTTAAACAAAATCACCTCAAAAACTAATCATTATTGTTTTTAATTTTTATATATTCTTTTAACATTGACACACATTTTTATATGACAAGTTAAACTTGGTTTCCCCTTGATTGTATGAATATAAAACATTTTTAAGGAAGTTAAGCCAAAGTCTTAAATTTTGTATTCAGATAAACCAAAATACTGGCACAAATAACATATTTTAAGTTAATAATAATATCTTAAAATGTAGATAATCTATTTGTTTTAAGACAGTATATATTTATCCCTCTTATTCAAAGTAAACAAATGAATCATTATACAAGAATAGAACGCAGTAATGTTCAATGCCATCATACTGGTTAGTGTGTCACCTAAAAAGTATTATAACCCGAAATATAATATAATAATAATAATTTATTTGCGTTTGAATAGGGTATACAAAAGAGATGTAAAAGGTAATACAATTATCGCCTATTCAGCCATTAACAATAGCATGCAAATGTAGTAAAAGAAGATACTAAAAGCACTGATTAATCCACCCAGGCTACCGTTCAGTTTCTATAGTCTAAGAACTCGTGCATCGAATAAAAGGAACGCTCAGAAAGCAGGTTATTAGTCTCTCTTAAATCTAGTAAAAGGTGTATTCTTTATAGATGCCGGAATCTTATTAAATATTGTTTGACACATACAGTAGCAGTTATTTTTAAATCGCGCGCTTTTTGGGACTATGTCAAGAACTAGCCTATTTTTATTCCTAGTGTTTCTGGGATATAGGTTTATATAGGTAACGTATGTCGGTACATATGTAATCAATCACTTGTGAGTATGAAAAAATAAAAACAAATTCATTTTATCTTAACAAAATATATATTGGCCATTTGGCCACGGAGACCATCAAAATAATACATATTTATATAGATCCCGAAGGCCTTTGTTCTTTGTAAAAATGTATTCACTTAGATATCTACACTAAGTAGGATCAAATAAAAAAAAATAAAACTGACTTCAAATTATGAGTAAAACATTAAAAAACTAAAAATAATTGAATTGCACCACAACAATACGTCATGTACCTAGGCGATTCGTAGGTAGGTACCTAACTTACCTACATTCCTTTTTAGAGTCGGTGCCTGCTAAAATACAAATAATAACAAAATAATATACTAAAATCTAACTGCTTTAAGGTGTGCTTTGTACCGTGATGTGCTGCGCTCTGCACAGTAAATCGCTGCACCATGCTACTCGTATGTGTAAACGCGGCATTAGAAGCGCGACGCGGCGGGCATCGACTCCAAAAATTAATGTATATATATATATATATATTTTTAAATGCCTATTTTTCATAGCACAGGCAAACTAAACCAGTACTCGAGGTATACGTCAACATTTGTCACCTAGGACCTAATCGTCCAATTTTAAAATCTATCGCAAGTATTCTCAATTTAACATTTGTAAGATATTCACAAACTTCACTTTGCAACATGTTATAGTGATTGCGGTCGCGACATTTTTTGAAAGATATTATTAATTTAAGACAAACGTTAGACACAAATATCTATGAAAGCGAAGTGTCAAACGAAAGAGTTGAATACTAACTGCAATCTTTCGTCGGGCTTAGTTTTTATTATGTTTCATGATCGTTTAAATCATTATTCGTTCGAAAAGCGATTACTACTTGAAAAGTTGGATAATTTTATAAATTGTTATGACTATTGCTATACCTGTGAAAGGGATTGCAATAAATTTTGAAATTAGTAAATTAACCCACTGTAGTCAGTGAAGGATGTACAAATAACAACAATAGTGTATCCACGCAAAACGAGTAACTGGTATTGTCCCAGTGTATAATCGAAATCGATCTACATAATAAGGTTATCGCAGCAAACGTCAAAGGAAATCCCACAACACGCACTCATTTATCGATCGAAGCCGATAGACGATAGATAATAATAAACTATCTAAACCGATTTTCTTAATAGAACATATTTAAATATTTCATTCAGCTGCTTGGGTGGTTTGCCTGAACATTGATGAAAATACGCTTACTAGTAGCGAAAAGTAACACGTGCTTGAAAAATTCGTCAGTGTCAGTGTCAGAGGTCCTGGATAGCTCAGTGGTTATAGTAGTCGCTCGGATTGCGAAAGGTCATGGATTCGAGTTCCATCTCAGTGTACCTGGGGCAAGTCGATTTTATAAGCATTTTACATTATGTTTGATAAAATTTGAGATTTGATAAAAGTTTGTATTTGCCTGAACATTGATGAAAACTAGTAGTGAAAATTAACAGGTGCTTGAAAATCTCGTCAGTCCTGTTTGGTCTAGGGAGCTCAGTATCCTATTCTGGTAGCAATTCGTTTATATTGCAACTGATTAACTCAATTTACGAATCAAAACATGCGAGGCTCCCACCACAAAGTCAACTCATAATAAACCTAGATTTAATATAATATCACTGAAAAAAGCCCGTGAAATTGTACGAACCAGTTGTTATTGACAATAATCGGTGTATTATTGTAATTATAATATCACTAGTGTAATTATACGTGTTTGACAAAAATCCTGACACATACATAAATTGAATCTTGGGAATGACTTTAATGATTTTCATGAAGTTTTGGAGACACTAGATCTATTTAGCTAGGTTTCATTTTTAGAAAAGCAAAAAAAAATCGGTCATCCTGGCACCCATGGTACCCTGGCACCCTGGTACCCATTTTAGCATTTACGACTATATTTCTTTGATTTCATTTGACTATAGAATAATGTTAAAACA